GGGGCACGGTGGGCCCTGCTCTTTCAGGGAGAAGCAGTTGTTCCCAGACCTATTTGATGTCCTGCAAGCAGGAGGGCAGGCTCTGAGCAGGAAAACTGAGCTAGATGGACACGGTTCAGCCCGTGGTGCCACAAAGCCAGGCTCATTTGGGGGTCTGCGAAACCCTGAACATACATTGTTTGGGTTGAGCCATCTCCCCATTAGCTCTGCCCTGCCCCTGGCAAAGCCCACTGGCCTCCACATCCCATTGCCTTGCAGCAGGGACCCCACAAGCCCTGCCACAGAACCTGCACCACTTGCAACCAGCTTGCAAGATATTAGCAACGAGGAGCCTACTTTTCCTCCTCCTTAAACTCCCCAATGTGCCTTAAAACATCTTTTCCCCCTCTCCCAGCATTCCTCAAAGCCAGCTTTACTAAACACAGCCTCCTGAAGCATTTTCTTTTCCACTGTGCCTGGTTTAAAGGCCAGCCCTGTGCAAGCTGCAGGCAGTCAACAGCCCCAGCTACAAAACCCCCATGTGCCTCCACCCCAGTTCCCCAGTCCCTACCTCCTCCACAGGATGGATTTACCCACTCATAACCAAAACACAGGTACCCTGTTCATAAAATGGAGCATGAAAAGCAAGACAGCAGGTCACGGAAGAGGCTTACACTCATTTCATCCCTGGGCACCAGAAACCCCCGAGGAAGCCTCTCTCCTCCCCTAGAACCCCAGTTGCAACCCACACATGGCTGGAGAAGGAGGAAAAGGCTACACAGCAGCAAAAGCCTGCAGCCGTTTGGGCAGTAGCCATTTCTCCTTACCTCTGCACTTCCAGACAAGCAGGATGAAGGACATTGCTCGTAGCAGAAGAGCTTGCAGCAGGCAAGGTGAGTTTGCAGCTGAAGCACTACCTCCCTTAGCACCTTACACAGACAGCCCTCACAACAAAAATACAAGCCCCTGAGGGGCTATTAGTAGCCTCAAAACCCTCACCAGCCTCACCTGGGACCTCCCCACCCACTCCCATGGGCCCCTGGGCCCTATTTAAGCTCAACCTTGGGCAGTTTAGTTTCTATTTGAGCAGTGTTATGGGGGGATCTATTTTCAGCCTTGCCTCTCATGTGGGCTTCAGCTTAATGCTGTAGGTAGTTCCTCAAATCCTTCAGAGGCATGCTTCAGGTTGCCCTGTCCCTGGGAAGGACCTTGTACCTATGCTGCAGGTACCTTTCTCTAGTCTTGACTCTAGGAAGGATCTTGGGTCCATGTCGTAGCCTTGTTTCTGGTCCTGTCTCCTGCATGGACCTCATACCTGTGCTGTAGCTCTGTTCCTAGTCCTGTCTCCATCTCCTGACCCAACTCCCCAGGTCTGGTCCTTCCCCTTGCCCTGTTCCAGCACTGCTCGCCCCTCCGGCAGAGCCTGCTCCCACTGCCTCACCTGGCCAAGGCTTTGCTGCTGCTCTCCTGGCCACGCTAAGCTTATTTATGGCATGGTTGGCTTTCCTTTATAGTTCACATAGTAATTAGTTAGCTCTGCAATAATAATGTTCACCTCTAAGCATTCCAGCTCTATAGCATACTGTAATTATCATAACAAAATGTCACAAAAATGTAAATGCCATTAACTGTACAGCAGGGTGCATTAAGAGCTACAGAGTGCTTTTTCTTTAAGCTTCCATCCTTTAAAAGTTCCCAAGTACTTCCCCATAACCTAACAGCGATGGGATATTTTCCCTGCCCCATATAAGTTCCAGTTAGCCAATATATTTGCCTTTAACATATGCAAGATTATACTTATATTTATATATATATCTTTTATACATTATTAACACACAGCTCTGTCAGCCTTTAATTAATCAGGTGCTGCTTAGTGTTCCATCTGTTTCAAACTCTTTTTTTTTTTTCCTTTCTTGTTTGATTCCCCCTGCTACCCCCTTCACAAACCCCTCCTACATTTACAGACTTACTTAAGGGACCTCTATGGGATTTGGTGTCTCTCACTAGGTCTGGCTGCTTCTCTGCAGATTCTTGTCCTGCAAGGCTGATCCTGAAAGCGAATAAACCCACCAAGGCCCACTGACCTTGGTGGGTTTATAATTTTAGAGCCTTTTTCCTATGCTTTCACTTCAAGTCCCCTGGGTGGATCCAGATCTCTGGAGCTGTAACTCTCCCTTGAGAGCTGTAACAGTTTTTATTCTTGGGTCCCAAGTTGTTGTTATTGCTTTAAGTGGTTGGACAAAGCTAAGCAAGACCATGCCAGGGCACTGGTTAGATATTTAACTATGAGAAATCTTATTGTAGGAATTACTGGCTGCTCTGGTTAAACTGAAAGAAAATAAAGCTCCAGGTGGGCAAAATCTGGCAGCTGAGGCCTGGGGACTTGCCTTGATCCACAGCTTCTGCCCTGCGGAAGCTGCCCTTCTCACCTCTTCAGTAGCTCCAGTTGCTGGAATATCATCCACATAAGATGGGGTTTTTTCTTTCTCTTCTGGAGACACCAGTTTCTGACACGAGCCTGTGCCTGCAGGTGTGTCGTGAAGCAAAAGTTTATTCTCTCTCTCCAAATGCAAAAGCAAATCTGAACATTGAATCTTCAGTAAGTAGGATGGCCAAGAAATGGTTGGATCTATAACCAAAGCCCGCTTGGTTTCTGGTAGCTTAGCAATAATCACTGGCACGTTCGCCAAGCTAGGGGCTGTTCTCGTGGGGAATGTGTTTCTTTGGCAGGATTTTCCATCAGCCCTGCTAATGGGCCTCAGTGGAAAATGATTTGGGTTTGTAATCTCTCAAGGAACGCTCTGTTTAAAATAACCCCTAATGATTTCACTCGGAGCATCTCAGCTTCTTCAGGAGATCAGGATGTGTATGGAAGGTCCCACCAGCTCAGCGGGGGCAATGGGTGTTCCAGAGCGGGGTTTTCTGCCATCCTCCCGGGGTGGCCCTCTCCGTTATTCTTTATCTCTCTCCACCAAAGCTTGTACCTCTCCTTTCGCCCTTTATAACCACCTTTGCCTGATTTCTGTATTGCCGACACAAAAACCTTACCACAAAAATCTGGTAAGAGTCCAGGCTCCATTTTTAGGAAAAATTCCTTCCCCGCAAGGGCTGTCAGGCACTGGAAGGGGCTGCCCAGGGAAGGGGTCGAGTCCCCACCCCTGGGGGGATTTAACAGCTGTGCAGATGCGGTGCTGAGGGACAGGGTTTGGGGGTGGGATGGCAGGGGTAGGGGAACGGCTGGGCTGGGGGAGCTTAAAGGGCTTCTCCAACCCAAATGGTTCTGGGATTCTATGACTCCACCTTCCAGTCGCTTTCTGAAATAAGGGGATTTTCACTGCTGCATCAAAAGCCCGCTGGTACCTTCATGTCTCCTGGGTACCACCTCGGGGCAGCCCCCAGAGTGCCGGTGTTCGGCACATGGGCACCCATTTGTGCGGGCAGTGCTGGGTTGAAGCCAACCTCCTTACGGACGGCTCCGGGAGGTGGCAGGGATGCAGGAGCATCACGGCGTCCTGCTGCTGCTCCTCTCAGCTGCAGTACCACTCCTTCCAGCAAAGCCCATCCCATTTTGTCATATCTCCTGCTAAATCCTTTAATGCTGCTCTCCAGAGCCCTTAACGTACTCGATCCATTTTTTTTTCCCCTGATGTACTACCCCTGCCATCGCCATTTCCCAAACATCCCCTGTTCCTCTGCTCCAGTGTCCAGCCCCTCATTATGGCAAGCTGCAGGTCCTGCTTGGCCCATGTTAAATTTTCCCCTTTTCTCCTCAACCCAGGCCATAACTACGAGCACCCTTCTGCTTGGTCTCTACCAGCTGAGCCTGGGGAGGCTTCCCTGCATTTGGGCAGTGAGTTCCTGTGACTCCTTGCCGGAGCTGCCCATGCCTCACCAGCAAAGGGCCGGTGGGATGTGACCTCACGTCCTGCCCGTGCCTTAGCAATTCTGTGTTGGTTTGGAAAAACCTTCTCCGCCTTCTCCCAGACTCTGGGTCCATCCTTGTGCTGCTGATTTCCTACCTGTCTGCTCAGCCAGAAGGCTGTTCCCAATCCCTTAGCGCACGGCGGAGCAAAGGCTGGCGTGGCACAAGCTCTAAGCATGGAGCTGTTTCACTTCCACTTGATGTAAAACCTGAAGACGTTTCTAGAACTGCCATGCTCCAATCCACAACTGTGTTTTATTTTTACAGCCTCACGGGCCCCAGGATAGCTGTTATGTGGGGACAGGGCTGTTGTTCCCGGCTCCTTTTTCCTTCCCCTTTCATACATATCACCCCGATAATCCTCTTCCTCTCACCGCTCCCAGTCTAATTCTCCATTTTCTGCAGCTATTTTTAATTCCTCTATCCTACACTGCTTTTGCAAGCATCTAAATTTAGCTTCGTGTTGCCGGTGATGGGGTCCCCTTGGAGGTTCCCCCTTGCTCCAGGGCGAAAGCTCCAGCAGGCAGTAATCCCTGCGGGATACTGATGTCTTGAATTTCCAGGAAACTGATTCCAGCTGGATCTGCTGCCAGAGAGCTGCGGGATGGTACTTGTCTCCTAAAGATGCAGGAGACTGGAAATGGGGAGGAGGGGAGCGATACCAGAAATAAGGAGCCCCAGAGAGGGAGGAGGAGAAGGATCTGTGACTTTTCATACTGAGACAAGGCTAGTAAATGGCTTGGGGACCCCGAATGAAGCACAGTTACCCTGGAAGGGTCAGAAATTCCTGGGCTCGGTGGTTTTTCAGTTGAATCCACAACCTGTTGTTAGGCGGAGGGTGAGCTGCCGGCATGGGGGAGGCGAGAGGCAGGAGAGGGGCTGTAGCGTCTGCGAGCATTGGCGCACTTTCCTAAAGCCGCCTTTTCTCCGCCCAAAACCAGCATCTTCCTTGTGAGCTTGTGGCTGGGAGTCCTTCGGGTGTTAAATTGCCCGTCCGAGTGGTTTTTTGGAGGGCAGCTGGCGAGCCTCCCCATGGCAGGGAAGGAGGAAGGGCGTGCCGGATGTCGGGCTGCTGTCGAAAAGCGAAACCCTGCCCATACGCAGGACGGGGATTTCGGGCAGCGCCTGGGCCCCGCTGGCAGGGCCCCACCATCCCGGCGGTGCGGTGAGTGCATCGCAGCATGGCCAGCCACGCTGTGCTGAGGGATGGCACAGGCAGGGCCGTGGGGACCGGGGGAATTCTGCCCCGAGGGGCTGCAGCTCCCAGTCTGGTTAGAAGCCCCCACCATGCTTTTTCGGGTGCTTTTCTCCCTCCTGTGCCCCATCCTGGCGGGGGAGGGACATCCCGACAGTGCCGGATCCTGCAGCATTTCCAGGCCTGGTGACCTCGTCCCACTTGGGCGACTGTCCCCAGCCTTTCCAGTGCAGGAAGAACCAGGCTGTACGGGACAAACTCGGTGCCCAGCTCCAAAACCTCTTGCCATGGTGTAGCCGTGATTTCTAACCTTTGGTATTTTCAGGTGACATCCTGGGATGGCAGGGGAAGA